GCGGGGGTTGGGAGGCGGAGCTCCCCAATTAAATGACTCTATAAACAAGCTTATGTGTTGGTCATGTCGATAAACACACACAATCACCATGATAAAAGTGCATAACACGGTAACAAGGTTATGTCTTGGTCTTATGTCGAATAAACACACACAACAACTATGATAAAAGGGCATAACACAGTAACAAGATTATGTGTTGGTCTTATGGCGAATAAACACACACAACAACCATGATAAAAGGGCACAACACGGTAGCGTTAATAATCTAATGGATCAAGTATCGTGATGAGCGATTATGCCCTGAATAAAAAAAAGTATTGAGACAAAGAAAAAAGGATTGAAAAGTATTGGATTGACTAGAAAACCAATACTTTTTTCTTTGTCTCAATACTTTTTTTTTTATCAGGGTGTGAAAGATGTTGTCCGTGGATCAAATGTCGTAACTATGAATTGTCCGCGGATCAATTGGTTTGGAACCGTAAGTTATACATCTATTTGAGCTCACAGAGCTTCAACTAGCACTAATTTCAGATTTTTGAGCTCGAGGACCTCAAAAACGTCGTAATAAATAGAATTTCTACCGTTTGCGCTTGAAATTAGCGAGAAGTTACGGAGAGGACCTAAAATGTGAACCGCTTTACAAATTTTTTTAAATAAAATAGTCTCAAATTAAGTTCTAAGTGTTTTGCGTTTGAAATTAGGGAAAAGTTGGAGGTACGGTCTACACAGAAACAAAATGTTCTTAAATCAAGTATGTTACTTTGAAGATTTGAGTACAAAAATTCTTGAACTAAGAAATTTTTACTTGGTTCAAGTAAATGGTACTTGATTCAAGAAATTTTCGTCTTGATTCAAGACAATTATCCTCTTCAAAATTATTTTCTTGGTTCAAAAATTTTCTTTTCAAATCAAGTTAATTTTTTTTCCAGTGTATATAGAGTAAACCATTCTACTAATTACTTTCAATTAAATGTCATTACAAATTATAGCAATACTTGTAAAAGTCCAAATAGAGGGACGTTTGCCGAAAGCACTGTTTAGGTCTCGATTCCATGATTCTGTCGCGTTGTTGGTCCTTCTGATGTTGGTGAATTGGGACCATTCTTCAGGCTTTCGCATTTTTATCCATTGTTTGATAAAGTAATTTAAAAATCTCTTCATTCTCTTAAAAACCTCGAGATTTTTGATCCTTTCCAAAATTGTTATAAGCGCATCAGGGATATCTTTGCCGGGTAGAAATGCCAATGCCATCAGCTGGCGTAAAATATCTTCAATTTCTAAATCTATTGAAGTAACAGTCGCAGGCTTGGTTTTTGATGGTCGTTGTATTGCTCCAAGTCTTTGGGCATTTTTTATAATGGCCTAAAAGATGTTATAAATTGTTGAGAAGATTTATATGTAAAAAATAAAAAGCAGACAGCATTTGGCAGATGACATCTTTAAAACGAATCAAAAAATCAACGTGTAAGCCTTTTGAGTAAGCATTATATATTAACTAAGTAAATTTATTGAGTAATTTTGAATTTAGATGAATAGTATATTACACATCAAGGGAAGAAAAGTAAGAAATGTCTAAGATCACATGTAATTGTTGACTGAGGCGAAGCCGAGGTTATTAAACATGTGACCTGAGGCTTTCTTATTTACTTCTCTAGGTGTGTAATATACTATTAGGATCAAGTGAAGAAAACTATTTTTTTGTCCGACGAAGGCAGATAGCGGCAACTTTGCTTAGTGCAGCGGGACGAAAGTTGCCACTTTCCGCCTGAAGGGAATAGTATATTACACACCTAGGGAAGTTAAGTAAGAAATGTCTCAGATCACATGTTTATTGACCTCGGCTTCGCCTCGGACAACAATTACATGTGATCTGTGTGTAAATAGTATATTACACACCGAGGGAAGTAAAGTAAGAAATTTCTCAGATCACATGTAATTGTAAAAGAAACATGTGATCTGAGGCTTTCTTATTTACTTCCCGAGGAGTGTATGCTATTTTTTTGCTCGACGAAGGCAGAAAGTGGCAATTTCATTTAGCGCAGCGGGCCGAAATTTGATGCTTTCTGCCCGTCGAGCAAAAAATACTATTTTTGCTCGACGAAGGCAGGAAGCGGTAACTTTCGATTAAATAGTTTTATATTGTCATTTGCTATATAAGTAACAGAATTATAATAGGTCGTTACAGTTAACGGTTAGAATGACAATTGTAAGGCCCAGTTTTTCAATCCAGGATAAAATTTCATCCAATGATAAAATATATCTATACATTTCATATATATAGATGTACTGGCAATAATAATTTTATTCTGGATAAAGTTTTATCTCGGATTGAAAAACTAGCCCTAAAGGTATAATAGTATATTACACACCGAGGGAAGTAAAGTAAGAAATTTCTCAGATCACATGTAATTGTAAAAGAAACATGTGATCTGAGGCTTTCTTATTTACTTCCCGAGGAGTGTATGCTATTTTTTTGCTCGACGAAGGCAGAAAGTGGCAATTTCATTTAGCGCAGCGGGCCGAAATTTGATGCTTTCTGCCCGTCGAGCAAAAAATACTATTTTTGCTCGACGAAGGCAGGAAGCGGTACTTTCGTTTAGCGCAGCGGGCAGAAAGTTGACGCTTTCTACCCGTCGAGCAAAAAAAATAGTATAATATTTCTTACCTAGGGCAGGAAAATAAGAAATGTCTCAGATCACATGTAATTGTTGACCGAGGCAAAGCCAAGGTCGACAAACATGTATCTGAGGTTTTCTTATTTCCTGCCCGTGGTGAGAATACTATTTTTCTTATCTCCGGGCGGAAAGTGTCAATTTTCCTCCCACTGCGCTAAACGAAAATGCCGCTTTCCGCCTCCGTCGAGGAGAAAAATAGTATACACACCACGGGCAGTAAATAAGAAAGCCTCAGATCACATGTTTATTGACCTCGGCTTCGCCTCGGACAACAATTACATGTGATCTGAGACATTTCTTATTTTCCTGCCCTAGGTGAGTAATGTACAATTTAAAAATCCTCCTCCAAAGATAATTGCGGGGGCGTTAACGATGAATAATTCACGTCCTTAAACTATAGCTTCTATAGATCCAAAATTTGGTAGGAATCTTCTATATATATTAGGGTGTTTCAAAAAAAGACGAAATTTTGTTTTTTTCTTTTGGTGTCTAAAAATTGATAGTATACCTAAAAATAAAAATTTTGGCGCCCATATGAGCTCTTAATATCAATAGTAAGGTTCGCCTGTATCGATTTCTTTATTTTCCATTTAAATAACACGGGAAAAATTTTTTTTAATTTTTTAATTTTTATTACTTTGGAACGGTTCATCGTAATAACAATCTGAAAAATGGTATTTGTAGGAAATTTTACGCTCTACAAAAAAAGTTTGAAGACCAAAGTTCCTCAGATTACCGGCTTCAAAGATATCCGCGGTCAAAGATAACACTAATAAAAAATTTCAAATATTTTCCAATAAAACTACAAAAAACTATCATATGCCATATTTTTATCATTTTTTTATGTAAAATTACTTTAATTTCGTTAACCTGAGACTGTAAACTTTTGTTTTTTACTAATTAATTCTATACTTAACTCACGAAATGCACTAATATATAAGGGGCATTCCACGCCAAATCGGACGGTTTCAAAAATTTAAATTTTAGAAATTCTCAATTTTTTGGTATTTTTTGGTACCCCCCTTAAAGAGGCCTCCTGATAAATTTTGAGATTTTTTTGATCACTGGTTCAAAAAATATCGAATTTTCAAAAAAACCGTTCTTTTTTTGGTTTTTTGCTCGTAACTTTTTTAATAATGGTCGAAATTCAAAATTTTTTTTTCAAAATTTTTGTTTTTAAATGCTCTTTTCAGAAAAAAATATAAAAAAAAATTCTAATTATTTTTCATTAAGATTTTTTAATTTTAAGTTTTTAATCATGTTTTACAAATTGTGTGCATCCGTCGATTTTTTTGAAAATTTGCTATTTTGAACTTCTATTTTTTCTTCAACTTTTAAGGGGGTATTCTGGTCTAGAAATTTGAAAAATTCGAATTATTTTTTTTCGCATATCTGCACAGTTTAGACCCTTAAAAATATGTCCTTGAGTGGATTTTTCAAAATCCGAATTATTTTCGGAGATATCGAGGATTTTGTGACGCAGCTGCTTCTGCTTCTGCTTCTTCAATAGAAGGCAGAACAGCTCGATTAGCAGAAAGAACTTCGCAAAACATCGAGTAGGAAGTAGAAGAAGGCTCAATTTACGGATCTGGGATTCGCGATTAATCCAAAGTGAATATTAAATATTATTATGAGTTATTTTACTGAAATCGTTTCTAAAACTTTAAACGCGATTTTCTCGAAACTACTTTTTTTAAAGTGGTTGACATGATATATTAAGTTCTACCGCACCGATTCCTTTGAAATTAAGTGGGAATTTGCTTTATATATCTCTCTATCGCGTCTGCTACGGATTTCAAAAAATTTCAATTTGGAGTATTTTTAAAAAATTCGAAAAGGTCAAAAAAAAGGGTAAAAAAATTGATATTTTATGTCGACGCCATTTTGGGAATTTTTTTTTTTTTTTGCTATAGTCAACGCAATAGCGACATTTTTACAGATTGAGAATTTTTCAATTTTTTTTGTTTTATATCACTACAAGGGCTGGAATCATGTCAACCAGAGGGCACCGTTTTTTTTGTAGCCCCCACTTCACCGCCCTGTAATTTGTCAAATTTATCATTTTTTTTTTTTTTTTAATTTTTTTTTATATTCTTGAAATGTCAATAAACATCATATAAAAAAACGGATAGTAAAAATGTTTTTCATTTTTTTTTATGTTAGTTTGAAAAAAGCCTAAAATTTAGGCTTCTAGACCAGAATACCCCCTTAACTTGAATCAAATGAAATAAACTTAAATCAAGAAAAATTTCTTAATTTGAGAATTTTTCTACTCACATTAAAAAAATGAAGTTTTTCAAAATTATTTGCTTTTTTTTTTTCAGTCTATGTAATTAAATAAATGAACGTCTTACCATTCTCAAAACCCAAAAGTATAACATCAATAAACATTTTTATACTTGTAATAATTCTATCATACTCCCATCTTGATGTTTTCTTCCGTTGGTTTGTATTCGGTTCTTCAATCAGATGAACAAACAATATTGAACCTATCCAAAAAGTCATATTATTATATCATCTGGAACTTGGGGCAAAACAATTTTAAAAATAAAAAGAGAGCGAAATTCACACAACAATGCCTAGCAATAAAACAATAGCGAACAAATTTGCGAGTATGAATTAATATTATAGCCTCTAGATATTGAATGTCGAAACAAAAATAAGTTTGGTAGCAAAAACACGTGTGTTTATGTCGGAGAACTCTTAAATTAGCTGTAAAATAAAATATAAAAATTTTATTATTTATTTAATGCATTTGCGAATGTTTAAAAAAATTTTTAAAATACTAACTAAAAAAATAAGACAAAAATAAAGATAAAATTTAAGATGAAGTTCAATGAAATAAATTAGAAAAAATACTAATTAGTAAAATCACCAAAACTAAAAAAATAGATAATCCTTTAGTAAAAAGTTGATGTGACGTTTTCATTGTTTTCGCTTTTCGTTGCTATGGTGACCTTTCTTGGCAATGGTTATCATAGCAACGGTTACCATGGCAACGGTTAAATATTAATTAGTAAAATTTGTAAAAATATTATTGATTAATTAAATTGTCGATAATAAAAACATTTTGACAGAAGCGCGTTCAATTTTCTAGTATAATAAATAAAAATTTGATTAATTTAAAATACAATTACCAAAACTGAGCAATAAAAATTTACTCAATGCAACATGGCATTTGATTGGTGTATTTTCATCAACATCTGGCAAAGAATACCGTTTTATATTGAAAACACTAAAATAAAAACTTTCATCATCTTCTGGATCATTAAATATAATTTTTAATTGAACTACTTTGAATATTTTATTTCTTCTTCGTACTATTGATACCTGTAATATACAACTTTAATTAATAATCGAACTAATAAAATAAAGACTACTTTTTTTTAACTACTTTTCAGTCACTTACAATTTCTGCATTTGTAGAGATTTCAATTATTTCAAATCCGAAGGAATTAAATTTTCTCGGCAAATTTACTATGATTGTATCTTGAACGATTACTTCATCAAAAACACCTTCTAAGTCAATGATAAATTTTACTGCTGTTATTTCCAGATGGTTGGTAATTAAAAATAAGAAGCTTTTGTTCATCCTGAAATCAAAATTGTATTGAATTTTAATTTATAAGCAGTTTTTTTTTATTTTTATTAAAAATAAAATATTTTTAATTAATTTGCACTTTTCATTTCTGTTAAATATTTTTTTTTCAGTGTGTTCCTAAATTTTATTGAAACTTACGAGAAAATATGATGACGATTATCAAAAGCATCAGCACCTACGATTTGTCCACTTTCCAAATTCCAGCAAATTAGTTGGCTGTTATCAGAAGTAATTCCAATAATTAATTTGAGGTCAGCATTAACATTCCAAAATGTAAGATCTTTTACAAAATCGGTGTCCTCGTTGCGAAATTCTATTGGATCACCATTAAAATTATGAGGTTTCAAAAAGATTCCTGCTGCATTTGTTGAATATATCAAATTACCACCTGCAACATTAAATTATCGATATTATTAAGAAAAGAAGAGAATAAGAAAAATTTTGTTAAAATTTCTTTAAAAAAAAAAATGGGCATTGTTAAAATGCATTTTTTTTCGGGATATGATAGTTTTTTGTAGTTTTATTGGAAAATATTTGAAATTTTTTATTAGTGTTATCTTTGACCGCGGATATCTTTGAAGCCGTTAATCTGAGGAACTTTGGTCTTCAAACGTTTTTTGTAGAGCGTAAAATTTCCTACAAATATCATTTTTCAGATTGCTATTACGATGAACCGTTCCAAAGTAATAAAAATTAAAAAATTAAAAAAAATTTTTCCCGTGTTATTTAAATGGAAAATAAAGAAATGGATACAGGCGAACCTTACTATTGATATTAAGAGCTCATATGGGCGCCAAAATTTTTGTTTTTAGGTATACTATCAATTTTTAGACACCAAAAGGAAAAAAAAAAATTTCGTCTTTTTTTGAAACACCCTAATATATATATATTATATTGAGACAAAAAAAAATTTTTAGTTTTTTTGGCTAAAGAAATTCCCTTTTTAGTAGTGTCAAAAAATTGTAAAATGTACGTAAGTTTTACAATCTCTCAGGTCTGAACTTTGAAAAGCATCATTTTCGCAATGTTTAATTTAAGGTACAGTACGGTTACGAAAACAATATTTCAACAAATCTTTAAAACTTTAAAAATAAGTAATTAAATGCATAATAGACGCCCGGTAAAAATTCGAAATTGATTCACAGAGTCAAATAAACGATAATTACAGTTTAGAATATTTTAACACAGGTGGTGTAGGAGAAAGAAGAGAAAACCGTACATTTTAATAAAGGCATTTCAAGAACTTAGTTAAAAACTAAAATTTATTAAAATAATGTATGCATAATTGACTCAAAAAAATCCTGAATTCTGAATCACGTAATTTTCTAGAAATTATCGATAAACTAGTCACCTAAACAAACAATGTCTTAAGTGGAAGAAAGTGAGCAAGTCAGAGTGACAGAGGTAGTGAGTGAAAAAGACGGTACAAACTATATATCGCGGAGGAACTATCTGAATAAAAAATAGATGTCACAAAACTCCAATCACGTGATTGGTACTAAGGATACTGCGGGGGTGTAACATTATAAAAAATTTGATAAGTCAAAGGGAAGGGGGCACTCTCATGAAAAATATACAAGTTAATAACTAACAATAGATATTAATATTATAAGTGTTTGAACTACAGTTTATAACAAACATTAATGTGTTAGATAACAAAAGTCTACATTAATTTTAATGTTTAATGTCAAGTAAACCAAAGGAAACTGAAAAGACATTGTAGGAGCGTTACACGGAGAGAATTTTATATTAACGATAACCATCCCTATTTTGTAGCTTCTACTATCCAGAATGGTTATTAACTTTTACAACGTTAAGATGATAAATGCAACTGTCAAGGGTCAGAATATAATAACATTCTAATGTTTGACATAAGAGTGAGTATTGAAAAAAGTGTATCTATATTATTAAAAGAATAACAAAAATTTTGTCTCCAGGATAGTCATATGATAAAATCGGTTTTTTTTTTTATGAAATTTAGTGTCATAGCAAAGGCCTTGACTTGAATTTCCGCCTTTTCAAGGTTTCATATTATTCTCATCAATAGTTATTTTATCATGATGAGTATTTAGGCTGCATTCGAAAATGCTCCATTTCTAGATATATAATTAAGAAATTACCTAGTATCTTGTTAGCTATTGACATTTTTAAAGATATAAGCTCATCCCAAAATTACACTCATCGATACCTTTCATTTAAGTACCCACATCAATTTTTCATATATTTTATATATTTATATATATTATAAATATATATAATATACAGTAGTCACGTATTGACTAATTATATTACTAGCTGCGATGGTAATAATTACCATCATGATTGTAGAATTTACAATCAACATGATTTTAGCGGTTAACATATATTATGATTAAGTTTACCATCTTTAAGTTACCAGCCAGATGGTAATAATTATTATCCAGATGGTAAATGTAACTATCTGGATGGTTCAGTTAACAATTTGGATAGTTTTTGCAATAATTTATACTAAGTACGGCTGCCCAATTTTAAAACACAGTAACTGAAAAATTTTTATACCTGATTTTCTCTAGTATTGCTGCTTTTTTATAACTTTTAGAGCTCAATTTCAAGTATTTTTTCTTAAAAATATTTATATTCAATTATTTTATATTTACAAATCAAATTTTTCATCAATTTGGTGGGTAAACTTTTTTTTAATAAGAAAAATTGAAAAAGATTTTTAAATGTTAGTTACTGTGTTTTAAAATTGGGCAGCCGAGTAGCTGTTTTTACAATACTCGGATAGTTGTATTCATCATTAAATTCTCTCCGTGTAGATATTAAAAATTTTTCAATTATTTTTACTATCGTTTATTTTATAATTAATACTTATATGCTAGATATGATAAAGTTCAATATTCCTTTTTTAATTTAACGTGATACAAATCATGTGGGAGACAGAACTAGTATGCAATATAATCGTAAGACTTTGAAATTAAGTCAAGTAATTAATGTATAAATGTTGAATTTTATCAAAATAAGCTATCGTTAAGGGGACCCGGTGGTCTAGTGGCCTAAAATTTAAGCTATTTTAAAAATTTTATTTCTATATGAAGGTAATGACTAATGCTTTCAATTTTCTTTTTCACTTATCCTATTACTTATCAACTATACGAAAATGAAAATCAAAACAAAAAAAAATTTTTTTTTTAAATTAGAAAAATGGCGATGAAGTCCCCCTCTTCAAAACAAATGGACCAGACTTGTGCGTGGCGATTGATCTCTCCCTCTGATCTGAAATAAAAAAAAATGACAAATTTTTAATTAGTATAAGTATAGTTATCGTCGGAACTTGAATGAAAAAAAAAATATATTTGAAAAAATGGCGCGTAGTTAAAAGAATTTTTTGAAAACGAATTTCAGATTCGTACTTTTAACTACGCTCCATTTTGTCAAGTATTTTTTTTTCAATCTATTTCCGACGATAATTATACTTTGTAACAGAGTACTTTGTTACCACTGGTAGTTAGTTGAACCATTGCGAGTTCGGTAAAATATCGACGCGACACCAGTGCGCGATGGTCTCGGGCATTTAGATAGTAAGGAGTGGGGCGACGGGCCGAAGCAAGCACGAATGAAGCAGCGGCCGGCGAACAAGACAGAAGAGGTTGTACTACCGAACGTTCCGGACGCACTTTGGAAAACTCAGGTAATTATCCAGTCGCACGTTCATTTAATTGGAACGCAAGCGATGTGTAGTATTTATTAATTTGTTCAAATTGATAAATTACATCATACTAATCCTATTTGGTACGTCTAGGAATAATTGTTGCGGTTGTAAGGAGTACAATATCCCCGAGAGTACGAGCAACGACGAGGCGGCAGCAGACCCAAGCCGTAGCTGTGAATTTTGCGGGAAGCAGTTCGTCAGATTGCAAGGTACTTTGTCAAGTCTCGTGGGCAAAATTCGACTGTGGTTAGCACCCGGTCTTATTGACTCTTCTGGACAAGATTTTAATTGTTAATTGGGATTTATAAATTAAATTAATTGTTGGGTTTTATTAAATTAATTTAATTACTGGTTAGATAAAATTGCTAGAAAATCCTGTGGTCCGACACCCGGGAAATATTAGTTAACCTTGAGACGTAGTTGGTGTTGAGATAATTACGTGCCATTTTATATTCAGTTTTATTAAATTAAATTAATTAATTAGTGATAATTTCCGGTTAATTAAAATTATTAATAATAATATTCGGTTAATTAATTTTAAATTTATTGAACGTTAATCTGGAAAATTTTTATAAAGAAGTGGTGAAATAGTTTGTTACTACGCAGTACATTTTAACTGCGCGTCTAAAATCACAAGGTCACGTTTACTGGCGTCATATTTATTCTATTGTGTTGAAAATAGTCACCGGACAATTTCGTCAATTTGGCTAGATGATTTATAATTAATTTCAATAAGTTACGGTTGGGTTATGAGTGATAGAGAGTGGAATCGTGAATGAATAGCTTCTGAGATATGGTACGATCTTCCCTCTAGATCAGGAGTTATTATAAAATTGGTTATTGGTAATTCGGATATTGGTAAAGGAAAAGTGGAGGTCATGTGGTCCTCGTACCCGTGAATTATGGTACGGTTTCCCCTCTGTTTCGCGGGTATTAGTTAAGTAATTTTATTATGGAAAATTTGGCAATAGAATTTATAGAGTGCGTGTGAGTGTGATATTGTTGAATAAATAATTGGTAACCACGAATTATTGATTTTATTCATTTCCAGATAATTTCCTAAATCTCTCTACCCTGTAGATTATCTCTCATGTCTCTTACGGTTTCCAGGACACCGTTGTAACAACCTGGTGGCGCCTTAAATTTAATATCTTGTATAATAGTCTCATGGTATTTGGAGTTATCATCTAATTAATAATTTAGGCTGCTATTGAACGGCGGAAATAAAACTCCCCGTTACAACTTATACTAATTAAAAACCCATTTTTTTTTATTACAGATCAGAGGGAGAGATCAATCGACACACACCAGTCAAGTCCATTTTTTTTGGAGAGGGGGCGGACTTCAACGCCATTTTTCTAAGTTAAAAAAATTTTTTTTTTTTTATTTTCATTTTTGTGTAGTTGATAAGTAATAGAATAAGTTTAATAAAAATTTGAAAGCATTAGTCATTACCTTCACGTAAAAATAATATTTTTTAAAATAGTTCAAATTTTAGGCCGCGAGACTACCGGGTCCCCCAATGTAAAGCAATGAACTACAATAAATTACTAACTTTACAAATCTACAATAATTTTTAAATTTTAGCTAGCGTTTCTACATGAATATTTGAGAGGTTTAAATTTAATTACTTGACAGTAATGGAAATGACAAAGCTCGATTTTCACTCCAGGTAATAAACTTGTCAAGGCATTTCTCGTAGCTAACTCAAAATCAATATGTATTCTCGGTCGAAGGGTTTTAATTTCAGGAGATACCTTTTCTGAACATAAATGATCGATAATAACTTCATATGAGTTAGTACATTTGGATTCCATCAACGCATACAAAAAAGGTATCGCCTGCAGGAGTTATAAATTTTTTAATAA